GGGGGGGAATCTCCTGGGGGGGCGAATCTCCTGTGACACCGGAACATTTTGAGATTTTAGGATTTATTTAGTTCAATATACAGTACTTATTTAAACTACACTCTACTGTCATTCATAGGCATATGAGGCTGGGGGGGGATTTCACCCCCCCCCCCAATTTTTGCCAAATAGGGCAAAGTCGGGCAAATTTTTTGGGGGGGTCACAAGATGTCAGGCAAAAAGCAACCGCCACCCTAAAATTTTGTCGCCCATACTGTCATTTAATCCATTGAGCATTTAATTTTTTTTCAGAGGGAGGGGTGTGCAAATATCTCCAAGTGGGGTGGGAAAACTTTCTGAGAGGTTTTCTTTGGGCAGGGGGGGAGCACCCAATGCATCCACAGAAAATCCATCTAGATGATTCACAGGTGTGAGATGAGGTCACAGAGTAGAGACATACAGAGACGTAACTAGTGTACCCACTTTTTTTTGTGCGCATGCTTGGCAAGTTACTAGATGCATGCATCGGATTGGATGACGACCTGATGATGACTCACTTTAAACTTGCTGAGCACGCGCAGTTGATCATTTTTCGCCCGGTCGCCTGAAAAAAAGTGGGTACATGATAACGTAATCTTCCGCAGTGTTTACAACGGTCAGTTACGTCTCTGTATCTCTTATCTACTCTGTGATGAGGTAGGGGCAAATGATTAGCAACCGTTTATGACATTATGACATCATTATATAAAATCGGTATCAGAATATTTCAGAAATAATCGGTAAGCAGTAATTTCCAATTATGACATAATCGGTCAATCACTACCAGCAATCCAAGCCTTGTTCAATGATGGTGGGGAGATGCAGCTTAGAAAGGATCCAAGAATACATGATCACAAAATAACTACAGGGTGAGAAGAACTCACTTGAGTTCCCTTCAATATTAGTTTGCAAAGGGTAGGGGTAGGATGTTGGGATATCATGCAACAAGTCCTGAATGAAAACTAGTTATAAAAGATGAGGTCAAGTCTGTTCTGTGCATGTATTAAAACAATACCCAAATTTTGCATTGTTTCGACATCTTCTATAAAATGATACTCTTTTAAATCTACAGTCAGTATCATATATGGCTCTTAAAGACCCTGAATATATTACAATCAGCAGTAATGTTTCTACCTCCCATTGCTTTTCTGAGACATGACAATTAATATCATTTTGGATATTTTGAGATTCACATAGACAATTGTTCAAAAGCCTCCTATCGCTATTTTTAAATTCATGATGTAACAGTCCAACACCAAGTAGTACAGATCCACCACCAAGGAATGTGGTCCACAATCGACTCACTCTGCTTGCCATTGATAGATTTTGCAGAATTTCCCAAACTCAGAATGAGTGTGTATATTGTATAAACGGTTATATTGTTATTAATTGGAATGGAATGATATTAAAATAAATAAGCTTTTCCCGGAGGGGGGGATTATGTTTCAACGGAACAATATAAAGCAATCAATTCATAATAACAATTATATACTTTACTAAATAATTTCATATTTTTCAAACTAAAAATGAATGCTTAATGTATCTATTAGTCTACTTGCAGATGCAAAAGCTTTTTGGTATAAAAAATATAGCTATATTAAAATTATTCACAAATAGTTCGCGATGGATTTGTTTGAAGTCCTCCCCCGGGAAATTTCATTTCAATTTCCAAGATGGCCGACGCAGACGAAAGAGAGGAAAACGTGGATTCGATGGAAACAGGTTTGTTGAGTCATTTTCTGTTGTCCAACGTGTTCGTAGAGAGTAGTTTAGTAAATTATATGTTTTAAGAGATTGGGAAATCCGTTCTGGTAAGTATCAATACACTACACTTGGATATTAAACTTTGTAAAATTGAATGTACATGTAATATTAATATATATAGTAGAAACTTGCCTACTTACTTATGTATTTAATAAAAAAGTATACCCTAATCTCTTTAGTCTGTGCTGGTTTTAGCCTTACTTTAGAGTGTTTTTATGATTAATTAAAAAATGAACATTTTTAATCTTCTGGCAGAAGATTAAAACTCCTTCAAGGGCATTTTATTAAATTAAGTGAAAACCCATGCAAGGAGAGGGCGAGAAGCCAGAGTGATATAAAGGTTTTAATATTCCTGGTATTGATATAGATATGGATATGGCTTGTAAGGTGCACAAGAACTTGGTTCTAGAGAGCCTAATTTTGTAGGGTTCATGTGCTGACATCAGACAGATTAATAGATCGATGACACGCACATCAAAGACGACGTCAAAATGGCGTGGCATATCCATACGTCGGCACAACACACCATTTTCATGTTGTCTTTAACGTCTGCATCCTCAATCTAAATCTGTCTGTTGAATGGACAACTGATCACAATACTGACATCATTTTGTCCATAGACATACTAGCATAGACGTCTCATCCAACTTTTTAAGGCTTGCCCTTCACAATTTGAAGTGTATGTCTGTCTGACATCACATAAGTAAGATTAACCCACTGAGTTGCATTGTGCCCTACTTTATTATTTTACTCTGTCTAACACCAGATAATTTTACTCATCAAGAGGAGAGCGCTGGCACTTAATGGGTTAATATGCATAAATAGTTAACTTATTGGTGATGGCTGGAAAGTGGAAAACACATACAGTACAACTGTGTCAGTGTACACTATTTCATTAATTTGAATGAGACTGTCAATGATTGATGCTTGTGATGTTACTCTGAGTGTATATCCACACCGGGCAAGCTTGAAAAATATGCCTGACCACAGTGGGAGTCGAACCTACTACCTTTGGAATACTAGCACAATGCTCTGCCAACTGAGCTATGCAGTCAGATCAGTTCGAGTATGTGATAATTCAGAACAGAATCTAGTTCCTTCGATATCAATGTAATCTAATAATCAGTAATGATTTTTCTGTGTTGGTGTAATGTACTCAGGTAAATATGATGCTTGTGATGTTACTCATCTTCCTGAAGGAAGGCAGTCACTCCAAATATTGAGGTTGTTCTAATATCTCAGGTTCACAGGTTAAATATTGCAGATTAACATATACTCTGGAGATGGATAGTGCTTTTCGTGAAACTTGATTGGTTGCTCAGCTCCCGATATCCTCGCACAATTCATATTGTTAACTATCACCTATAGGCCTAGTTCAAATGTCACTCTTAACATGTGACAAACCTAGTATGCATTAAGTTCAACAAATTTTGCCACAAATCGAAGGCTGATTCAAATCTTAATTAAGTTGAACTTACTGTGAGATGCATGGAATATAATGGGTTCAGGACAATGGCAGTGCAATATTCTATAATTCAGGGTGCAAATTAAGAACTTTTTCTATCCTATAGTTATTTTTCAAAAATTATAGGCCTTGCTAGATTTGACCTACAAATTTCAATTTTGACCTACAAATTTCTTGAATGTTCCTTTGTATAATGTTTTGTGATTGATGATAGATATTCTTTTGCTGTCAAATTTGTTTCTGACCAGCTATTCAACAAGGGATTCCCAGTGTTTAAAATTGATTGAAAAGTTAGCTTATAGATTTTTCTGTGAAGTGATATAGATTTTTCTGATCTTTCAATTTGTCCTACAAAACTCCTTTTTGGCATGACGATTTGTCAATTGAGTTTATTTTTGTGCTACTATTCCTTTAGTCTCTGTATCGTGTAATACGGATTTCTCCTCAGACATCTGCCATTCAGAAGACTCCATTTAATGTATGTCATAGACCTGGAGTTACTGGTACGCACTTGAATAAAATAATGAAAAACGTTTAATTCCGGTTCGCAATCCCAGGTCTGTAACGAAAATGGAGCTTTCTGATTGGCTGATGAAAGGTCCGTATCACGTCATGATACACATCTCTTGTATTTAGCACAATTTTCAAACTCAAAAATCTACCCAAAAAGTTGACTCACCCTAACAATACAACGATAAACTAAATTAATTAACCTTAATGGTGTTTTTGTCAAACCCGAAATGCACTTCACTCTGACCAAAATGCGAAAAAACAAATATTTATTTGACATGTATCGTACATAAAAAAAGCTTTGTTACATGTTTTGTTTCAGCACATATTTAGAAAAATGCACCTTCAAATATAATAGATATTAGAACATAGTTCTAACAAAACAATAGTTATTATACCTTTAAACATGTTTTCTGGACTCAAGTCGTTCAAATATTTTTTCAAAATGTTAAATGTGCTGCATGTTAAAAGAACATTTTTCAAAGAAGTTATTATTGTAAAAGGAACAGGAAAATAAATTATTTTATCTGTTTACCTTCTTTACTGGCTTATTCAGCAGAAAAGTTGCACAATTTTAAAAAATTAATAAATTTATTTTAATCCAACCATTGGTATTAATTCATTCTGTTGGATGATGACTTTGAAATGAAGTTAAAAAAGTTACGTCTTTAAATCATGTGTCTTAATTCATTGTCAGTGGCGTAACTTTATAGTGCTCTGACAGGCAAATCCTCCCCCCCCCCCCCATCCTTTGTCCGATAGGGACCTTGAGAAGATCTGACCTGAGGTTTTACCCGACTATCGCGAGCCTAAAGCTGTTGTAACACTTTGTGTTTGTGTATATCAATCTTTAGCTTACAGTACTGTATCTTTTTTGAATTATTGTACATCAATCTTTAGCTATCTTTTTTGAGTCCCCACTTGATTTGTTTATAGACTTTATATTAGCCTACGCGACATTTTATGCATATTAAAAATTGAAGGAAAACAGTTTTTATTGTGCCAGATGTTCCAAATTGTACACTGAAGCCATATTTTGTCGTATTTTTAGATTCAGCAAGTGAAGGCAAAGCTGAAACCCCGCCAAAAAGGCCCGATAACTTATGTTGTTACTCACAGAAAGAATGTGATTTGGAAAAACTGAAAGGATTTGACTTTTGTCACAAACATATTTTAGAAGACAATGCCAGTCCATTTAAACCATGCGATTTTGTTTCCAAGACAAACGGAGAGAAGTGCACCCAACCAGCACCTAAACGTCCTGATGGCCAAAAGACGTGAGTGTATTTCTTTTAAAAAGACATTCAGTAGCAGCAGCTATAGCAAAATACATTGCTGGGTCTGCATGGTTTAATTTATACATACCTTTTACAAATTTATCACAGAAGAAATGCGTCCTTTTAGACAAGGGTTTTCAAGGGTGAAACGATTTTGGCATTGAATGAGTTGGGCGTGAATCGACGTATTAATATATAGTTGAAGAATAACGACCGTATACCTAAAGCCCTAAACTAGGTTGTTTAAAGAGTATAATTTTGTCAACAAGTACAAGTACAACCTCAAATGCTAGATGCGCGTCGCGCGACCAGGATTCATAATAAAGTTTCTGAAACGTTCTCTGATCGTAAAATTTATTTAAACACGAGCTTTCGACTGCCAGTCTGCAGTCTTAGACAGGTAAAGTGATACTAAATATAAAACTATTCTACGGATATACAGTAGCTACTAGGTCAGTGGTTTACAATTACAATTACAATTACAATTATACGTAGGCGGAACTACTCAATACATTGTTATTACATGTCATTGTAATTGTAATTGTAAATCGCTGTCCTGGTAGCTACAGTATATCCGTAGAATAGTTTTATATTTAGTATCACTTTACCTGTCGAAGACTGCAGTCGAAAGCTGCAGTCGAAAGCTTGTGTTCAAATAAATTTTATAAGAGAACGTTTCGGAAATTTTAAGTACAATCGTACTACTGGACCAGGAACTGGCCGAGTTGGTACAGTATGTCGTGCAAGTTATCACTTCGTTGATCACCACGTTGATCGATCGTTTTAGAACTCAAACTTTTGCATTGTTTCAAAGCCTTGACTTAATTTTGGTTCGGCGAGGCATTTAAATATGTTAAAATGATCTAAATGATCGAATGAAACACTAGTCAATTAAATGGTTCTCAGCGTTCGCGTAAGTGTTTTGCTTTATACTAGGCCGTGGGCCGTTGTGCGAAAAAGTGCCTAGAAACGCAATTTCGTGGCACCCCCCTGGGTTGAATGGCTCTGTGGTTGAATGGATAGTACAATAGATGCTCAATTACCAAAAAAGATTCCCAAGCAAAAAACATGCCCAATACCGAGAAAATGGGTGGTCAGTGATTATCCTCTATTAAATTGTATTACAGCAAGAAAATGTGAAATTTGGTATTCAATTACAACAAAAATGACTTGCATCATCAGATAGCATTTAAACAGGTTTTTTTTATCTCAAATTGTTTTCGAGTTATACGCTGTCCATTCTCGTCCCCAGAGCCATTTTCACTCGGTCACTCGTTGAAAATTAGGATCTGGGTTAGACGACTAAAGGGAGAGATCTGATTGGCTTCTCAGAGAACTGCTATTTCCTAGAGGTTGAGCAGTTTTCGCTAGGCAGAATTATTCTATCAAAATATGTCAACACAATACTTCGTTTCTTCGTAATACTTCTCTAAGAAAATTGTTACGGGTGCTAAAGCGTCCCAATTCAAGAGTATTCGCTTTAGAAACTACTGCAAGTTTTCTTGCACTTCCGGTTCCGTGTGTACCAGGGCCTATTAAGGTCGCGCGCGGCCAAGAGACCCTAGGAACGAAGATGTACGCTGTCAAAAACGCGTTTTTGACCTAGTACCCAGTCCTTATTGCGACATTTTGGTACAATTTTTATGTTTGAAACAGCAATAACTCAACGGCTATTTGAAAAATAAAAAAAAACTGTTTAAAAGTCTTATATGCAGTTTTTGTACGCTTTCCGTTGATGCAAGTCATTTTTATTGCAATTGAACACAAAATTTCCCATTTTTTTGCTGTAATACAACTTAATAGAGGATAATCACCCATTTTTTTGGTATTGGGCAAGTTTTTTGCTTGGGAACGTTTTTGGTAGTAATGTACCTATATGCCTTTGAAATAAACCACAAACTAAGTACTTCCCACATGGATGCTACGAAGAGAAATAATTGTGACCAACGGCCCACGGCCTATACTGTACATTCAAATTACGTGTACTTTGATGTAATTAGTGTATCTTTCCGCGTAGTATTATGGCCAAACAATTAAATGCTTTTAAATATTTGTTCAGTGAAGTTGCTTAATTGAAGAATTCATTCTTGGTGGGCAATTCCTGGTGTCAGAGTAATTCCATGCCATTTCAACACAGGCATGACACCCACCCTCTCCAAATTTCTTTATATTTCGCAGGCAGTTAACATTGTGTGGGAATAGTTTAAGTTCAAAATTTGAGCATCGTAGCTGCAATAGTTTTTGAGATATCGCAATTCAAAATATGGCCCGAAAAGCAGAAAAGTGGGCGTGGCCAGTGCTAAATTCACCATTACCCTATTTTACATTTTGACCTGTAACTTCATAGAGAAACTATCTAAGACTAGTTAATCGTGTAACAACGAGCCAAACTGTTCGACCAATTGCACGTGTTGACATTACTAAGTCTCTCCAAGATGCAAATAGCGAAGGTCAAGGGAATTCATTTATAGATCAACCTGGCACTGGTGATGACAGCATACATCCTTGTGACCCTACCCATGACCATAACCAACATTATCCCATCAACAAACCGGTGGAGAAGAAAGTCTAGCAAATCCTTAAAAAGCAAACAGGCTAACAGAGGAACAAGCAAATGGGCTAACAGAGACAAGTTTTTTCGATCGCGTCCCACGTATCACCAAACCGATTGGCTGAAAGACAAACACGAGCGGAAGAACTGGTACAGCTATTACTACTAGAAGAATATGCACCACTGAGTAACGCACGTAAATCCAATTGAATTAATATTCCTTTGGAAAAGAACAACGATAAATCAAAAAATGGGAAACTTCTCCCAAATGTAATGCTTTTAAATGCAAGATCACTTATTAATAAAACAGATGAATTGGAATTATTGGTTATTACTAATGATATAGACATAGCTTGCATCACTGAGACTTGGTTAAAGGAAATTGTTCCCGATAAAGCTGTGGCTGTTTCTGGAATGACATTGGTTAGAAATGATAGAACGTATGACGGTATGGTACAGGAGGGGGTGTTGCTTTATATGTGAATAACAAAATACCATTTAAAATTCGCAAGGACTTGAATGACCCCTCGTTTGAGTGTCAATGGGTTACATTACGTCCAAAATGGTTACCAAGAGCAATATCTAAAATTGCGGTGTGCTGCGTATACCTACCACCGAGTCATAGCGAGATAGACAGTTTTTATGATTACTTTTATAATTGTTATGACAAACTCTGTACTGAAAGTCCTGACTCAGCTTTCATTGTTTCGGGCGATTTTAACCCAACAAGTAACGGCTTTCAACAGAGTCGATTAAATAGACACTGTAGTCTTAAACAAGTTGTCAAGGTTCCGACACGGAATAACAATATACTTGATTTGATTTTTACAAATATCGCGGATTTCTATATAAATCCTGAGGTCTTAGCACCTCTATCAACATCAGATCATAACATTGTATTGTGGAAAGCGAGAACTGATGCCTCTGTAGTAAAGGCTGGAAACATAGTAAAGGTAAAAGTGAGAGATCTCAACCATACAAGTACGGAACAGTTTGGGGGGTTTCTAGAGAACTATGACTGGAGTGAACTTTTCTCTAACAAAGGGCTCGATGAGAAAGTTGATGCTTTTCTTCATTTTACTAAAGTGATTATCAACGAGTTTTTTCCCGAAAGAATAATAAAAAAGCATACCAACGATAAACCCTTTATGACGCAAAAAATTAAATCTCTGATGGATAAAAGAAATAAAGCTTTTAAAAACAATAAAACCGAGCTCTTCAAATCTTTACGTAGACAAGTTTCAGCTGAGATAAAGAAAGCCAAGCTACAGTTTTATGATAAAAAGGTACGAACAAACCATAGATCATGCCCAAAAGCATGGTGGAAGCAAGTTAAAAGATTAATTGGATCAAGGAAAAACGCTGTGACTTTAGTAGACTCCGAGACAAATCTCCAAATGAACGATAAACAATCGGCAGATTCAATTAATAACTTCTTTGCTAATTTAACGACAAATTATCCACATATATCAAACGAGTGGCTAGAAATGCAATGCGCGGATGATCTACCGTTAATCAGTGTTGAAGAAGTTGCTAGAGAATTGAGTGCACCTGGGCCAAATGATCCACCTTTGAAGATTCTGAAAATGTTTTCGAAATTGTTTGCCGTTCCCCTTGCTGAAATTTTTAATGAGTCATTTCAGACAAAGAAATTTCCTGAAACTTGGAAAAAATACCGGGTGGCCCAAAAAAAAGTACTCCTGTTTGATTCGTAATAACTTCTAAACAAGTAAAGTTTTTAAAGAGAAATAACTTGCATTAAATAGAGGAAGTACTAACTTAGATTTTGATATATTACAGTTGTATTTAACTTAAAAATTCACGGAGATATTAATGTTAAAAATGGGGAGCATATTTTGGAATGTGTCTAAAATTAGCGAAAATCGGCATATCAAATATTAACTCCAGCGTTTGTTTGCTTAATGACATATTAGGCTAACTTGTATTTCAGCGAATTATCGTTAAGGTTTGTAAGGGATATGGCGTAGATTTAGACATCTTACATGTAAGTCTTAGCTCATTGTTTCCTGAAATATGAACGTTCGAAATTATGCAAGTATTTAATATTAGGTCTTTGCAAACTTAAATGTACATGAAAGACTGACCATGGAAGGCAGGCGCTTAAATTTTTCGTATTCTTAAATAGCCTAATTTTTTTATGTTTTTAATGGGTTCAAACAGACTGAGTAGATTATTTCTCGGTTAGAGCAGGATGAATATTCTTTATTGAAGGAAATAATATTGCTTTTTGCAAATACACATCACCGTATCAACGCTACTATTTTGTTACGTTTTGTTCCAAAAATGTTGCATGTCTCTGGGGAGTTGCTTAATTGTTATGTCTTATGGAGTTGTATGGTTTGATTGTGTTTCATATAATTCTCAGTTTACTCCATGAACTTGCCAAGATTAAGAAACGGCAAAAGAGTTTGGGTGTTCTTAACAAGATTTCAGAACGTTGCAGAAGTTAGAAGAGCTTCACAATTCCGTTGTGACAGCATGCCCTAATAGCCGGTTCCCCTTATTCGCGAAAGGCCGCAAAGGATTGTGGTAAATGTATTCAGCAAGCTCCAATATGGCGTCCAATTTTATTGACGAGGACCCATCTACTTCTAGCGTTATTTCTCTGTTATCTCAGCCAAACTCTAGTTCTTTTCAGAACTCTTGCACGAGTTTGGTTTCTGAGATACCATTGGGAAGTATTTCAGATTGTTTATTGCCGTCATTGGAGGAAAAATCAACTCCCAAATCGACGTATCACAGTGGTGGTGGCATTACATGCTGTGTTCCAAACTGTTTCAACAATTCTATCAGGAATAAAGAATTCTCCTTTTACGTTATTCCCAAGGATTCAAACCTAAGGAAGAAGTGGCTCCACATGCTTAAAAGAAAAAATTTTGTCCCTTCGTCTTCTCATCGAGTTTGTTCAGCCCATTTTGTTGGAGGTACAAAAACATACATGAACAATATTCCAACCATAAATGTGCCAATACTAAAGTCGACAACACCAACGACAGCCAAGCCACGTACGACAAGAAATAGTTCAGAAGGAAGAATGCGTTCAGCTCTACTACCAAAGAAACTACGTTTTGAGCAGGATGTCGAAAACAAGGAGCCGGAGGAAGCTATGAATGAATTGAAAAGACTACGAAAGGAAAACCAAACACTAAAAGAGAAAATAGAACAGCTTACGAAAGAGCACAGTAAAAAGGTAGAGGATTTAACAAACACTATTACTGTACTTAAGCAAGAGCATAATAAAAAGGTTGAGGAATTGACCAACACTATTACCGAACTTAAACTAAAACAGAATGAATTCTCTCTAGAAACATTTAAAGACAATCCAAAGCTTTTTATGTTTTATACTGGGTTTCAAAGTTATGATTTGTTTAAGATATTTTTTGAATTCTTGGGACCAGCAGTTAATAAAATAAACTACTGGGGATCAAATACCAGAAATGATGACTCAGTCACTCCAGAGTACTCAAAACGTGGTCCAAAGAGACAAATGAATCCTGAACAAGAGTTGTTCATTGTCTTAGCAAGGTTGAGATGTGGTCTTCTTGAACAAGACCTTGCTGTAAGATGCAAACTGTCCACTAGCCACCTCAGCCGGATATGCATTACATGGATAGATATACTACATTCGCATTTGAGAGCAATACCGATCTGGGCATCCAAGGCATCCATCCAGAAAACCATGCCAAGTTGTTTTAGAATCTCATACCCAACAACTAGGGTCATCTTAGACTGCACAGAATTATTTATTGAAATGGCATCTTCATATCGAACACAGAGTGCAACGTTCTCAAGTTACAAGCACCAGAACACAGCTAAAGGTCTTATTGGAATAGCACGTAATGGAGCAGTTACCTTTGTTTCAGAGTTGTATCCTGGTAGAACAAGTGACCAATGTATTACCAAACACAGTGGCATTTTACAATTATTGGAAGAAGGTGATTCAGTTATGGCTGATCGAGGGTTTGACATTTTGGAGGACTTACCGGATGGTGTCACACTAAACATTCCAGCCTTCATGAGGGGTAAAGACCAGTTAACTGTGGAAGAGGAGACAGAAACAAGGAGAATTGCCTCTGTACGCATACATGTTGAGCGGGCAATTGAACGAATTAAAAACTATAGGATACTGCAAGGAAAGTATCCAACAAGCATGATTGCAGAACTAAATAAAATTTGGGTGATTTGTTGTTACCTTGTTAATTTTTTACCTCCTTTAGTCAGTGATGGTAATACATAATAGATGAAAACTGTTATGGTAAGTTACCAAAAAACCAGTAGGTACAGTATATAAAATAAAACAAGATGCTCTTAGTCTATTGAGCATCTTGTACCTAGGGCAGGGTTCAAATCAGTTGAGAAAAAATGATGTGTAACTTTTCTTTATATGTAGAATGTGGCTCTAAATTTTTATAAAATATTTTCATAATTGTCTTAGCTAATCAGTCAAACATCTACTCAATCAAACTGCAATAATTTAATTATTTGAATACTTTTTAAATATTGTTTGCAATGCATGGTGGATAGAATTTGACACCTTCCAGTCGGCAAACATGCTGCTAGTGTGCGTGCAAAAGTGCTTGTTTATAAATTATATAAAGACAGCAGATTGATACGTGCAGTATGGATGCATGTTCATTAATAGTCACAAGTCTGATGTTTTTTGCACATCGTTTGGGCTGTACACAGGCTATTGGAGAACTGATGTGCAATTTTCACTATTTGGTCCAGAATGATGTGCAAATTGCACATTACTAATTTGAACGTTGACCTAGGAATAGAGATATATTCTTCTGTTATATAGCCCTGCATAGTGCATTCATTAGTTGACTTAAGTGAGTATTATAGTCTAAAGCCCTGGGCAAACAAGGAAACGTTGTTGTAGAAACATTGTTTCCTGCCAATGTTTCCCAGAGTGGGCAAACACTAGAAACATTAGTGAGAAACATAGGGAAACATCAAATGTTTCTGAATTCGCTACGACACAGCTTTGCTTCTCGGGAAGCAAATTTTGTTTCCTCAAAAATGTTTCCACAGGTGGGCAAACAGGGAAACATTCAAGGAAACATTGAGAATCACAAATGTTTTCACAACGTCTCATAGTTTGCATGCCCAGGGCTCAAGAGTACTAGTGAGTTAGTTGCACAAACATCACATTTTGCTGCTGTGACCTGTTGTGACATTGGAAAGACTTGCCATATAAACATGATATTTCTGAGTTTATAATATTTGGTTCACTTTATGTAGTGATTTATTATATATACCCCTTGGTAAGAATATAAATGTTATAATTATTTAGTTCAATATTAACCCATTAAGCGCCAGCGCTCTCCCCTTGACGAGTAAAATCGTCTGGCGTTAGACAGAGTAAAATACTAAAGTAGGGCGCATCAGGGCACAATGCAACTCAATGGGTTAATATTTACTTCACTGAACTCATGCCTTTAGAATTTCTGGCATCATAAATTTAAAATAAAAATCTGAGAGTTTGGGAAGCATGTTCTTGTTCCATAATTGTTTGTCAAAATTAATTCTTTCTATACAAATTTCTTTTTGTGTATAAACTATAAAATCTACAAAAGGTAACTGGCATAGTGCCATTACACCTAAACATTGAAAATAGTATTGATGATTTTTTTTTAACATTGGCTTTCCATCAATAAGGGTCATGCAGAAGGTTTTATCGGAACATGCCTCTTCAACAGTCATGTCCCTCTTTGAAAATGGGCATTTTATTTCGATTGCATACCATTCGCCATTTAGTAAACTCAACCCATCAGGACTGCAAGCCAACCAGGGCCATTGTGGGTTG